TACTCATGCTGACTCGACAAAGACAACTTTATTTTATACAGGTGCTTGTTATGACCAACGGTACATGTATCTAGTGGTTAATAAAAAAAAATTCAACATTTTTTCCCCCTGTTTACCAATTAAAGTAACATTTTTGCTTATCTCCCCAAACGAGAAAAAAAAAATTCCATTGCTCATTCTTCTACCAAACTTTATCTTTTATTTTCCAACTTCATTCTCATCAGGTATATCTACTGACTGTAGGTAGATATGCCAATTCATTTTGTGCTCCTGCTGAGTTTTTATATGAGCATGCAGTTTCTCTCCAATCATTGTGCCGGCCTAATCTGAATTAGTAAAATATGATGATTTCAATTCCTGTACTTTTGAATCTTTTTTCTCTTTCACTTTCTATCTTTACTCTCTGTATCCTGTCTCATCGTTATATTTTTTTGCTTTCAACACTCCAAGAATGCTATTTAGTTCTTTGATGTTTATTCATTGAAATCTTTAGTAGCTTAAAGTAGATGAAGTGAACGTAAATTTCTCTTTTATCTCAATGATAAAAAACAATTTTACTTTCTTTAACCTTTTTTTCTTAACTGATTTTCCGGCTATTAATAAATTAATTTATAAATCATATTATAAATATTTTGTTTGTTTTGAAGAAGCAATAAATATTGATAGAATGTAGTGCATGAAATTTTTACAGCCACTGAATTTTTATAATAAGTAATAAAGTAATTTAATTTGTCAATAAAGGCTTCAAAATGATAGTTTTTAGAAGTATAAGTAACGGGTATCCAGTTTCCATTGGTGATTTGAAGAGTTATCAATCTACTTCGGATCGAAAAAAGCAAGCGCCCTGTTATTACATTCGCTCATCATTTTTCAAAAGACCCACGTTGTTATGTACTCTTTTTTAATATCTACCTTCATCTAGTAGTGAAAGATTTTTTTGCAAAAATACCAACATACAGTCTTTCACATTTTATAGACATAACTGATTGATTGGTACATGACAAACGCTTGCAAAAAAAAAAATAGAACAAAATAAACATAAATAGAGAGAAAAAAGTTCTTTCATAGCAAAAAAAAAAAAATCCAGTACAGTAACTAACTACACCTAAAGTTTTTCAATACAACATTTTCTTTGAAAAAAAACTTGGAAAAAAATTGTCATTTTAATATCTGCTAGGGGGGGAAAAAATTAAAAACAAGCTTGAAAAAGATAAAAACAATTTAAATAAATTTAAAAATACATTTCTTTTACCATGTTTCATGTCAAGAGAGAAAACAATTTGGATGTATCAAAGAAAATTTAGCGGAAAGATGATGAAAAAGGTGATAAAATAAAAATAGAATAAAAAAAGCGAATAGATATGTGTATATATAAGTATGTGTATATGGTTTCTATGTAGGTAGTCAGGTTGCAGATCGCGTCCGTCTCGCGTGTCCGCAATTTTTCCAGTAGAATCGCTGTATACCCGTTCCATAATGCATGTCGCAGTCGGCGGTAGCTGCAGCAAAGCGCAATGGTCTATCTTGTCTCCACTCTCTTATACGATGTACTACTTGCCGGACGTTCTCATATCACTACGGCCAATGGCTAATGGCAGTGAGATGGTTTTTCGTTATGATCGTAATCTAAACTTACAATCGTCGCTCTTCTACTCTCCCATCTTTCAACTAAATGCAGGGTATGGTCACTAGACTGCATATAAATATAGATGATTACATTGTTGGCTCCTGCACAACTCTTCTTTTTACGATTAACTGCACTTACATACACTTACATTCCTTGTGACTTGCTGGACTCCAACCCACACGATTCATTGTTAGAGAATACGCCCAGTTTAAATTTTGTCCACCGGATTTTGCTTTTTCTCGTGTACAGAACAGTAGTGACAAATAGTTTGCAAAAAAATTGAATAAATTTCTGGTTTCCTTTGTCGTATAACTTATGGTGACTACTATTTATTTAGCTTGATATTTTTATTTTTTTCTAGGAACAATGAAATATAAAAATAATATTATTATTTTTTGCAACAAAAGCGTAACAATCATTGTTTGTATAAAATTTTAAATAAAATAAATAATAAAAATTAAATGCATCATGTGGTCTCGACTAATCCCTCAGGAAGTCTGATTATATTCGCTCTTATGACTCACAAATGGAGTGTCTGTTTACGAGGAAGAATATAACTTTATAGTAAATGAGTTTGACTTTTATATCAGTTGTGTTATGATGAAAAATATTAGCAAATTAATGTAAATAAAATATAAATAAAGTGAAAAAAAATTTTAACACACGTGACAAAGCTAATATAGAAATAAGTATAAAGAGAGAAATAATGAAGAAAATAAATGGAATAGACTATAGAAGTATCGTCACACATTCATTCAATGTCCACCCACGACGTTCTCGAGAAAACTTGCCTCTCGTTAAGCTTGACTATATGTTAATGCCAATCAGCATTTGAGATATATAGTTTAACATAACTGCCTGCATGTTACTGCATAAATATATATGTTTTTTGTTGAATTCCGTGTTACATCATTTATAATAACATCATTTTTGAAATTTTCAATGAAAAATTCACATACCTTCAAACTTTTTTGTTCAATCAAATCATCAATTTCATTTACTCATTATATTAATCGTTTTTTTCTATCTTGCTTTTTTATTTTTCGCTAAGATAAATAATTATCATTTATAATAAACGTACAATCTATCATAAAGATGTTGATAATTTTTTTTTTTAATTCTAATCTCTTCCTTTTTCTCTTTCTTTCTCTCACTGGAGTTTGATCATTGAGTTCCGGCTGAAAGTTACAGGTAATCATCAGACTAGAGAGAATTTTTACTGGCTCGTCATTGCCGGATATCAGTCGTGTAAGTGCTTTATAGAGCAATAAATTTAACAAGCTCAACACCTGGCATACGATGAAAAGAACAGGAAATTGTAATACAGAATTATTAAGCAGTAAATATGACATGTATCTTACGAAAATTGATTTCTTTTTACATTTTTATGATTTTATTTCGTGATGGTTGTATATATTCCGGAGATTTATAATTTTCAACTATCCTAAAGCTTTAAAATACCTATCAGTAACGGTTTATTTTTTTATCACACTAAAATGTAGAGATGGACTTTGTCAAAGAGAAGGTATTACTTGGCTTAGTGGAGGCGAGCAATCTAAAATGCAGAGAAAAATTCAAGCATTGGAACAAGTAAAGGAAATACAGAGAAACTTAAAAAAAAAGGTATCAAACGATCGAGTGAAGGATGAGAAGAGGCTAGGATCTAGGATGAATGATAGCCTGAGCCTCATTCCGTGAATATAAATCGGTATTGTATATCTTTCTCTCGACAGAATCACCAATATCTTCCTATGTTGCTGCTGTTTCGATGCATGCGTCCGATATTCCTATTGTACAATCTTATACTAGAATTGTAAAAGTTTTTTTGTCGATTGTGCATATTTTAAATCTTTGCATTTATAGCTAATCATACATTTCAAACGACTGGCTTATTTTTTTTTTTATTGCTCCTTATCATAAGTTATCGAAAACAGTAGAAGAAAAATAAATCAACAAAAATAAAATAAAGGTAGATTAAAATTGGAAAAGAAATATTTTTAGTGAAAAATGTTGCTTTTTTAAAATAAATATTATTTTAATCGTATATAAAATAAAAAAATATCTGTTATTTTTGGCACAGATAATGAAAGAATTTAATCAAACTATTCATATGTGTCAATTAATGTACAATCGAGCATTTGAGTACGCGAAAAACAATGAAAAAGAGAATGATTATAGAAAACTCTATCATTGACACATGGTTGATAGAATTTTACACTTCAAATAGTTATAAATGCAACATATTTATATATTCATGATACGTCAATTGTGTTGGTATGAGGAAAAACAATTCGCTTGGTACGCCAACACAGCGAAATTAATTTGAACTATGTCGTACGAAAGAGTCGTTTGGTTTTCACGAAAATCGATGTTTAATTATTCCACTTTCCATGCTATTGCTATCATATATGTATAGAGTCGAGTTTAATTTCTCTCGCGTGCACCTTTTACTGTATAGTGTAGTAACCGGGATGAGTGAATAGAGAATTGGTGTCGAAGCACGTTTCCTGCCATAATTTTCTCGCTGTGCTTCAATGGATTTATCGCATCGGATAACACTGATTTAATCGTAAACTGGATGATCATAAAATAGCTTTTCTCACGCGGTTGATACTCTGTATCAGCATAGGCATGTGTCATATGCGTATCTTTATCCGGTAGCATGTGGACCCGACTAATATTTTGTGTTGCGTTATCGAAGCACTAAATGAACCATTCATCATGTCATAAGTCAAACACCCTTTTGTTATCTGTCTTGTCTGAATGAAAAAAACTATTTTACTCTTGTTTTTCAAATAAATCAACATGTTGGCATATCAATGGTGTAAGAAAATACTCGCACCGGAATTGACTCCAAAATCCATGTAAATAGAATTCTTATCATCAATCTTCACACGAAAATATTTTTATTGAAAAAAATAATTATTTAAATTAAGTTAAATTATTTATTTTTGATAATTGAAATCCTGTTTCTTTTCACGTCTTAAGAACTCGAATTTCCGTTGGAAAAATTTTTCTCTCGAGAATTAAATAATAATATACAACTCAGAATGAAGTGATTAGAGAAAATGAATAAACATTTTTTTTTTTTTTTGAATATAAATGACGCTTAAAATTCTTCAAGTCTCATTTTGACGTCTATATATTTACAACTAATTTTCTGGCTGAAGTTTATCAAATAAACATTCACATGGCGTCGCTGATAAATATCTTTAATATAATGAAGTGAAGGAAACAAGAGACGTCATGATAAGATCAAGAATGTCTTTTTTTACAGTTCTACAAATCGTTTTTTTTCTTTTTTTTAATTTTTAAGTCTCTGTCTATTCGCCGTAAAAGTTCATCACGTAGGAACCATTTCTTTAGAACTCACCTGAAGATGAACCTGGCCGTTATTATCGACCCAACCGATGACCATGTCCGCACCAACATGTCTGTCATCTCTGGTGAATCCAAGACCCACGTAGCCCTGAGTCTTCACTTGCACTTCAAACACAATGTCTCTTTCATCAGGTGTCCACAGTATTAGGAAGTTATTGTCCAACACAGCACTGTTTTTCCATTCGAAAGACGTGGAGACATCCACAAGGAGAAATATTACTGCCAGCGAGAGATGCAATCCCACTAGAGCCTTCATTTTGCTTGGATATCCCGTTACAGCGCTTGCATCTACAACAAAAGGATGAAAATAGAATTTATTAAATGACAAAAAAAATCCTCATTTTATTACAGCTTAAGTAAAATCACTGAAATTTCACGTAAACAATATTACAAATTTCCATCATCTTATGTGCTAGTAAACTTGTAATTTATACTTGAGAACTTAGGTTGTAGGGTAAAAATTTACTTATTATTCAACCTTATAGCAAAACTTTTGGAAAAGTTCAAAGTTTAATCTATCAAGTAACTTTAGAAGACAATTTTGAACATTTCATTCGTTTGTTCACTTGTTATTTTAACGAAAACAAAAAAAAGAAGATAAAAAACATAATTTTCAGTTTCAGTATTCAATAAAACTCAGTGAAAAAAAAAATCTTTACGATAAAACAACACGGCTAGAATTTTTTTTCAGCCGAGGATCCTTGTTAAAGCGACAGCTTCCGTGAGATTTTACCGTTTTACGGATTGCTGAAGTATCCACCAATCTGAAAGCAATCGATTCAATTAACAGTAACGCCAGCGTAATGTGCAAGTGAAGTGATGCATCGATAGGAGCAGCTGTCGGTTGGTAGTTTGAATCGCTCGATCACACGGAGAAGCGTCAACTTGAATTGAAAAAGGACCAAATGCACCAGTGGAGAGAATGTGATGAGTGCAAGCGAGACAAGAGTAAATAGAGGAACAGGATAAAGGTAGAGTGTACATGTAGGTTCAACCGGAACTATAGATGGGTTTGATTTGCGGCGTGTCGTCCAGTCGATTGCTCTCAAATTGCATCCCACACTAATATGGTAGCATCAGCTTAAAACGTTTGCAACTTGCTTCATACATAGACTCCAATTCTCTAATTCATCTGCACATTCTTCTTTGATATATATAATTGTTATTTATCTTCACTTAGCTTATCTAAATATTTATCTACATCTTATCTAATTCAAAGTTGATCAATGTTAGAATTTATTTCTTTCTCATATTGAATATAATTTTTTTTGATGTTTTATAAAAATTTGAATATCAAAAAATTTTTTAAAATCAAACAAACAATTTTTATTTCAACTTTTCATGCCCATCAAATTCATTCTGAAAATAAAATAAAAGATTATATTGTTGATGTTCTTTGACGCTATGAAACTAAACAAACAGTTAATTGAATTTTTAAAAAACGATGAATGCGTCTGAAAAACTTTTGGCCATTTCAAACACTCTTTTTGTTTATTTCTACGACAATTTATTTTACAGTCGGAAGTCAATAAAAAATTCAACTTTGATAGTTTAAAAAAAATTTATTAACATTTAAATTAACAGTTAAAAGAGAATAATATTTTTATTTTTTTTATTTAGCAAATAAAATATATTGGTTACTGGAGTGATTGTTAATTCGTCTTTTCATCACTTGGAAACAATTAAGGATTTAACTTTGGTACTGGACAGTGATGAGACGTCGAATCGTTCAAATATCAGTGAGACAAAGATTTAGAAAGGTCGTTAAGAAATGACGCGACTACGTGGACGACGACCAGCTGCTGCTATGGACTAAGGCCACGTCAATTAGGACCAAAGAGCATGGAGGAAACCGAGTGACTTCTCGTGTAAGCCTGCTGAGTGTTGAAAAGATCAAAAAAATAAAAAAAAAACTTTCTTTTCTTCGCGAGAAAAAGATGGGTTAACGAACAAATATCACAATGTGGATTGACACTAATCGGCACAGTTATCCGTCAAGGTGAAAAAGTATCTGTCATTCTAATAGCCAACCCTGAAGAGAAACATTGCAAACCAATTAAAAATCCAAACATATCATTCTTGCAATCAACCTTCGCTTTCAACTTTACAATTAAGATACATATATTGTACTGCTGTTCGAAATCGACATAATTATATGATAATTGAATGAACAATAGTGGGTCTGGGTGAGATATTTGTATTTAGAATATCATTTTTAACTTTCAATCAATGAACAATAATTAACGAATTAATAAACAGTGAGTGTGTATTGTGGAATGAAATTTTACACACCTAACAGATCACTTTGTTTATTAATTTGCCCGTTTATTCTATAATTTACTCCAGATTCATTTTTTTTTCATCAGTAATTATAACCATTCATACAGAAAACTACAGAGCTGCGGTTGCAAAAACGTAACATTCAAAAGACAACTTGTGTTAAACCATGAAAAAAAGCAGCGTGTAAAGAAGTACAATGTAGCTTCCTCTTTTTCATGAAGATAGTGGAGAGCTGTATAAGAGTCGAAAGAAAGATAAACTGCCAAGTTGAAAGTAACTTATGAAAAAAAGAGTGAAGAAAACTGAAGGAAGAGACACAAAAGTAAAGAATATTGTCGAAATATATATATTCCAAGAATTGATTCGATCTTCAAAGTAAGGCGAGAAATATTCCGAAAAGCCAGTGAAAAAAAAAGAATAAGTATAAATATTCGAGGGAACATCAAGGGAAAAGAATTTATTCTGCATTTCTATACTGTTATGCTGAATCGTTATTTATGATTAATTTTCACTTGCAAGGAGTGTAAAATATTACGAATTCACAATGAGGGGATTATATTCTTTTCCCCTTGGCGGAAAGATACTTGTTTTGCATTTTAAGATAATTTTTATAATCGAATAAAATTTATGAGACAAAGGAGAAGAAGATATATACGGTTGATTATAACAGGCGGAAGCGTGATTGAATGCAACCGGTGTGCTTCTTCTTTCGTATATTTCTCACGAATGGCCATTTTTTTGCCTCAGTTACGTTCGTTTAAATTTAATTACTTTCTAATAGATTATACTGGCAAATGAGGAAATAATTGAAGGAAACGCGTAGCGCAATTCAGGTATGCCGCTGTTAAAGCGGTGCACATAAAACCGGCATCTTTAACTCCTCACTCTCTCTCTTGGCATGTGCGTCGTGCTCTTCTCCGAGGTATGCATAATAGGTTATTTAGCTACGCTACTCGCAATGTAATAATGCCACTGCCGAGTTCCGCGAACGTGCAAGAGCCTAAAGGATTTTTTATTTACTCAGTGTGCCGGTTTATTTGTGTGCTGTATATCATGTCTGTGTTTAATGTTTACACACAACCAGACACAGATTGGCTTACACGAAAGAGGAAAAATAATAAATTAAAGTTCGTGAATGGACCTCAGCTTTAATTTGTGCCGAATGAATTAACTGGTTTTAAAAATTACATGACCAGTAAATGTGAATAAGGAATAAAAGTGAAAATTACGGAAGCAAATAATATGTTAAAAATATTTCGAGTATTTTAAATAAAAATGAATTTATTTCTTTTTTGTCGTTAAATAAATATCGTGCAATAACTGCTACGAATTATTTCAATAATTATAATAAATTATTCTCCCATAGCAGTTAAAGATATCCATTAGGAATTTTTTTCATTTATTTCGCACATAATCACCTTATTGCATTTGAGCCAGTTTACCCCACTACTGTTATTCACACGCATATAATTATAAAGTGGAAGACACGCCTCTTGGGTGACCCATTATGATTGTATGTAAGGTATTACGCACGTATCACAGGTACGTTGATTCTCCGTAAATAAAATGGCGTCAGTCAAAAAGGTATGGGATTGGTTGAGTTATTTACGATTGCACCCAAGCGAGACTAACTTCATTTAATACATTTTGAATAGTATCTACATGACGTAAAGGTGTTGCGGGCCAATGGTACTCGTCACGTATCGAGGGAGAACGTGCGGGCCACGTCTAGAAGAGGATAACAGACATAGAAGTAAACACCTGCGGGTAACGGAAGCGGAATACGAAGTCACATGCATCGTAAACGAGAGACAACCATCTGCATCACCACCCTGGAGTCGAGAACTGTGGAGAAATGCACTTGAGCTACGACAATCACTCGTCCTCATCGGACTAGTGTGCAACATGTTTGAACGGAAATCATTACCGGGCTCAAGAAAAAGACTACGTACGTTCACTATTGTGATAAGAGACTCTACCGAGACTAATGACAATTAAATCCATCCGACCTCCCTGAAATTAATGGAAAGTAAAAAAAACTGTTTCAAACTATTCATCAGATTCAACTACACTTATTATTGAAGGTGAAAGAAAAAATAATAGTTCAAGTGTTACATTGATGAAATAAAAATGACAAAAATATCACTCCAAAAAGGGTTCAAGAAGACTTTTCGTAATAAATAATGAATTATTTATTGTTTCCAGAGTGATAAGACATTGAATAGATAATATATCAAATGTTTAACTGAATAGAAGATTCTATAAACGTGAAACTACCCCGTACACTTTAAGATGCTAGTATTATTTTCTGCTTGAACTGTACACAAACGCCGCGAGCGATCTCGGGAATCCACTTTAACGCGGCTTCTTGGAACAGAGAAGTGGCGAGAAGAGAAGAAAATCGAGTGCCAAATAAGAAGCAGTCTCATCATCTACTTTGGTGATAAAATTATAAAGCGCGTCATTCTGTGTTCATTACCACAAATAAATAGTCTTTTTTAAATCTACACAAACACCATAAAAGTTACAATAACTCCATAAAATATTCCAGCATAATCTTTAAAGAATATAGAAAAAATTATACCTCATAGTTAGCGTAGTAAAAAAGTACTTTTAAGAAAGATAAAAGCTATAATTTTGTTGTCTTCCCTTTAAATAATAAGTATCATGTTAATATTTCTACAAGTGAAAAAAGGTAGAAGAGAAAAAAAAATAGTTGTTGATGATAAAAACCCTTTACATTGCTTATTTAACAAACTAGTTGGTCATGTGTAGAGTTGCCTTGATAAGTTTACAGAAATGATGCGTGCAGAAGACAAACTTTCCTAATTATCAATTAGTGGTCTCGCTCTGATAGTCAAACGCTTTCGAGTTAGAGCTTCAAAGTGAAACTAACCTTTGGAAGCAATGAATGTCCAGGGACACAACTAGTGACATTAGCTTAATTGGAACGTAGGAGGAAGCACATGTACAGCGATACTCTTGAGAACTGTAATACGCGACACTGT